AAAAAAGTAAATCATAGCTAAAAAAGTGCAAAAACGCAGGCAAATTTGCCTGTGTTGGTCTACATATTAAGGGATAAGGCAGTTTATATGAACATTGCAGTTTAAAAAATTATTTATTAGTTAGCTTATTTATATAAACAACATATGTATCATATCAAAGATAGCCTATCTGCTCCAAACAACGAAGACATCATAACAGACTCTTAATTAATTATATCAACTAGTACTTAAAATGATCAAAAACAAATTAGGTTTTTTAGCAATAGCAAGAAACTATTTAATAGCTTACTCAGGTCTCAGCAGATGCAGAAGGTTGAGCCAAGAAATCTTAAATCAACAAGTAGTAGGCTTTCAAAATAGACTAAACAGTAATAGCCAAGTTGAAAAACTAATACAAATATGAATCAAACAAGGCTATACTTTAGCTAAATTAACAACAGAAGTGTGAGAGCAATTAGCAGCTTTTAGTCTCAAAATAATTTGAAAAAACAATCTAGCAAGCTTAGTAATAGCCAAGGCTAGTGAGCTTAATATGTTAATTAGGTCCAAAAACAGATCATAGTATATTTATAAAATAGGGCCAACTATTCATAAAGTCCTGGGTGATGCCAATTTTGACAAAGCTCACATGAATATTAGAAAATACAAACTTTTTTATATAAACCAACTTATTGATAGAAGTAGAAATAAAATGGTCACATAGAAGCAATTTCAAGTATTAAGAGCCAAGAATTGAAAAGAGCCAAAGGCAATATAGTTTAAAGAGATCGAAAAGAAATTAATAAATAATCAGCATACAAGAAAACTTGTAAATGCCTTTCAGAGCCCTAGAAAAAATAACCTAGCAATACAGATATATGTGAAAAGGCTATTAGTTAATAAAAAGAAATATGAGTAGGTCTTAGTAAACAAAAAGAATGAAAATACAATAGTTAGGAAGGTTGTAAAAAAGAATTATTACATTTACTCATAGAATATTAGAAAGTAAGCAAGGAAGAGAGAGAGAATAGCTTGGTATTAATAAAATATAAAAAGTGTAACTTGAGTTGGTTGACTAATTTTAAAACATGAAACAAAACTCTCCCCTGTAGATCCTCATACCAAATTTTGAGCTAAAAAAACTCTACAGAATAACGGCAAGGGCACTAGACAACAAGGCTTTCTGGCTTAAGTAAAAAGAAGTGGCACAAAAAGTTACCTTTAGATACTTAAGAACTTACTAATCCCAACCCTCGCGATAGAGTAACAGAGGCCAAATAGCTAGTTTTTCGCAAGAAATTTTCAGAAAAACAATATTTTGGGGGAATCGACTTTAACCCTGTAGCATAGATCACTGTAACAACAGACAGACACATATCACGTCAAATGCCCAAACAAGTAAATAACATGTTTGATCAACAACGGACATCATATAAACAACAACCTTCACATGCAACAATATAGCTTTCAATATAGTCATGTGTTAAAATGGAAAGTTTCATCAAATTCAAAGACCTGTTTAGAAAAGACAAACAGGAGATTGATAGCCTATTTCAAGAACTCAAAGGTGTTACTCTAACTAAGGACCAAAAGATTGCAACATGGCTTGGAATAGATGCAGTAGAAGTCATAAGCCTTATTAGAAGAACAACTGAAATTTTTGACTAGCTTAGACACAAAGAAGTGACAGAAAAGGTTCTATCAACAGATGAGCTCGACTTATATAATCAACCTCTTTGTCGACAAGACAATAAAGCCAAAGAGTCAATCTACAAAGAAGCAGATATTAAAGAAATATTACTTCTTACAGAATGTGGAATAGTCAACTATGGTATCAAGGAAATGTTAGACCTAATTAACCTAGATGATGAGTCAAAGACAAGTACCAATCTGGAAATTCTAAACACTATCCCAGATACTGAAACCGAGACTCAAGCCAAAGTACAAATAAGGTGCAAACCAAAACAGACTATGAAATTAGTAAAAAGTAGCCCAAAGAAAATTGTATCAAAGCAAACACGACAAGAAATGATTCCAACTGGAGATAGTAAGGAAGAAATAATGAACAACTCATACCAAGCTACAGCTCTAACACCTCAGACAAAAGAAAAAGTATACAAGAGCATGACATGTATAACTTTATGGGATATTCTAAATGAAACCAGAGCAAACCAAATTAGAAAATGTCTGAGTTTCTATGGGAGGGCTATAGTCAAACACTTCATGTATAATGGGAAAACGAAAGCAGCACAGATAAAGCTAACTTTCAGAAACCCCAATGAAAAGATGAACTCCAAAATTCTTGGGCAGTACATTTTGTAAATGGTAAAATGCTAAGAGTTACGGGAGGTTTTCTAGATAAAAAAACACTCATAGAGAGAAGTAAATACAAATTAATTATAAAAAACCTTCCTAAAACTGCGATCGAAACCTCACTACTAAGGCAGCTAAGAAATATAAAGGCAAAGGCAGTTTACATTTCAACGAATAGCAATGGTAACCAAAGAGGTATAGCATCAATATATTTTGCTACAAAGGAGGATCAAGACAGAGTAACAAGCCAGACAGTTTTCTATTTTAACACAAAGTTAGAATGGGCTAAGCTAGGTGGGGATAAAAATAAAAAGATATCTCAGCAATATAGCGACAAAAACAGAATACCAAAACTCAAGACC